AGAAAACTCCAAAATGGGGTCATGAAGAGTCAGACACAACTGAAATGACCTAGCAATAACAATGCCATTTGTTCCTCATAACGACCCTGGCAGATAGGTGCTGTTATTATCCTCATTTTTTTAGATGAGTAAACTGAAGCAAACAGAGGTTAAATAACTTGCCCAGGGTCAAACAGTTAGGAAGTGTTTGAGGCCAAATTATAAGTCCAGGCATAGCAGCATACTACCCTACTAAGCTACTTGGCAAGGGGGTGGGAGTGGGGAGCCCAGCTGGAGAAAAACACTCCCAGGCTAGTGCTAATATCCTTTGTTCTAGGATCTACAAGGAGGCCAGTCATTGGATCCCAACGTATGTGGAAGGCAGTAAGGTATAAGAATTATGGAGAGATGAGAAGGGCCTTGGTTATGAAGGCTTTTGCACACCAAAAAGAGGATTTCTTATCTGAGCCTGGTGATAGGAGCCAGTGGCGTTTATGGAAAGGTGAGCTCACCAGAATCCAGACCTGTGTTTTAGAATATTCCTTTGACAGCTGAATAGTGGTTGCTGTCTTTTGTTCTCCAAGAGGACCAAAATGACATCATTATATTAGAGTCAAGTTACAGTGTGTCTAACTGTGGCTGATGGAATGCTCCACCATAGGTCAGGTACAAATAATCCATGCAAACATTTGGGGTGGATTCTCTAGATTTTCCCATCTCATATTTCTTTTGAGCTACTTCAGTTCTTCTTTGCTCATAGATGAGCACAGCACCTTCTTTGATAAGGGCATGTCATGCTGGGCAGTTCTGTGCCAGTGTTTCCCATGTCACACAATCAATTCCAAAATTCTTTTTTTTTTTAAATTTTTTTAGGCGGTTGGGGTTAAGTGATGTGCCCAGGGTAACATAACTAGTAAGTGTCAAGTGTTTGGTCTGAGGCAGGATTTGAACTTAGGTCCTCCTGACTCCAGGGCCAGTGCTCTATCCACTGCACCACTTACCTGCCCCTAATTCCAAAATTCTTAAGAGAAACCTTGAGAATGTCCTTGTATCACTTCTTCTGACCACCATGTGAGCCCTTGCCCTGTGTGAGCTCTCCATAAAGTAGCCTTTCAGGCAAGCATACATTTGGCATGTATGCTGGCAGCTTGACCAGCCAATCAGAGTTGTGCTCTCTGCAATAGTGCTTTTGAATGCTTAGCAGTTTAGTTAGAGAAAAGACCTCAGTGTCTGGAACCTTATCCTGCCAGGTGATCTTCAGAATCTTCCTAAGACATTTCAAGTGGAAGCGATTCAGTTTCCTGGCATGGTGCTGGTATACTGTCCAGGTTTCACAAGCATACAACAATGAAGTCCCCACAATGGCTCTGTGGACCTTCAGTTTGGTAGTCAGTCTAATATCTCCTCTCTCCTACATTTTCCTTTGGAGCTTCCCCAAAACTGAGCTAGCTCTGGCATTTCATGTGTCTACCTCATTATCATTGTGTACATCTCTGGAAAGTATACTGCCAAGGTAAGTCAACCTATCCACAATGTTCAAAACTCTTGCATTTGCTGTAACCAATGGTTCCACACATGGATGGTGTGGTTCTGGCCAATGGAGCATCTGTGTTTTCTTGGTGTTAATTATTAGGCCAAAATTAGCACAAGCAGAAGAGAATTGATCTGTACTTTGTTGCATCTCAGCTTCAGAAGCTGCATTGAGTGCATAATCATCTGCAAACAAAAAATCATGCACCAAAACTCCCTCCCCTTTAGTTTTGGCTTATAACCTTTTCAAGTTGAATAACTTACCATCAGTGCAGTTGCTGACCTTGATGTCATGTTCATCCTCATTGAAGGCGTTTGACAACATGGCTGAAAACACCATGTTAAAAACAATGGGAGCAAGCACACAACCTTGTTTCACTCCATTAGTGACTGGGAAAGCCTGAGAGTGTGGTCCATTATTTAGAACCCAGGCAAACATGCCTTCATGAAATTGATGTACAATACTGATGAACTTCTCTGGGCAACTAAATGTTGACATCATTTTCCATGAGCCCTCGTGACTGACAGCATCAAAGGCTTTGGTCAGATGGACAAAGGTGTACAGACCTCTGTTCTGCTGGTATTTCTTCTGGAACTGTGGGGCAGCAAACATCATATCAACCATTCCCGGGCCCTTTCTGATGCACACTGGCTCTCAGGCAGATGCCCATCCTCCAGGTGAAGGATTAGCTTATTAAGGGGAACTCTGGCAAGAATCTTGCCAGCAATGACTAAGAGAGACTCCCTTGTGATTGTCACAAGACAATCTTGTCTCCTTTACCTTTATAGAGATGGACAATGGAAGCATCCTTGAAGTCCTGAGGGATAACCTCCTTTTGCCATATAACCTGGAAAATTTCAGTCAGCTTTTGTATGAGCAATGGACCCCCACCTTGTAAATCTCAGCTGGAACAGAATCAGCACCAGGTGTTTTGCCACAGGAGAAGAGCCTAATGGCATTCAAAACCTCTTCTTCAGTTGGAAATTTGTCTAGAGAGGGATTGACTTCAACCTGAAGTGAATGGTCAATGGCTCCAGCATTGATTGATGACGGTCTGTTGAGAACACTAGTGTTCAGTCCATCTCCAAGATCACGTCCTTATCACTAATCAATGTAGCTCCATCAACACTGAGTAGCTGAGATGCACCCAAGGTATTTAGATCATAAATAGTCTTCAAGGTGTCATAAAAGCACTTTGAATTGTTACTATCAGCGTAAAATTGAATTTCATCTGCCTTCTTACGGAGCCAAGAATCCTGCATCTGTCTAAGCTTCAATTGTACTCTACTTTTGATGAAGTTACATGCTGCTTTCTTAGAGGTGGATGAACTATCCTGCTGGTAAACCCTGTGGAGTTCTCGTTTTTCATTTATAGGTTCTGAATTTCCCCATCATTTTCATCAAACCAGTCTTAATATTTTCAAGTGTTCTGACCCAGATGAGCAAATATAGTGCTGTACACCAAATATCTGAAAGCTGCTTACTCTTTTTCTGCTCCAACTGTGTGTTAGTTCAACTTTCCCTCTAAATTAGCAATGAATGAACTGCTCCTGCTTAGAGAAATGTTCTAATCTGTTGACATTAAGTCTACTGGTACTCATATTGCTTTCCAAAGCTCCAGCTGCCACTTTTGTTGAATGTGAATATTTAGCTTGAAGACAGTAAGTCTATGATCAGTCCAGCACTTTGCACCATACATTCATTGCCTTCTTCACTCTCACATCCTGTCTGTCTCTTCTTACAATCACACAGTCTTTAAATGTCAATGTTTGCTGTGAGGATGCATCCATGAAGTTTTATTACATTTAGGTAAATGAAAGATAGTATTGGTGATGAGATCATGAGATGTACAAGTTTTCAGTAGAAAGTGACCATTGCTGTTGCTGTTTATAACTCCATTCTTCCCAAGGACCCCCTTTCATGTCTGGTAGTCTATGTTTACTCTAACATTAAAGTCACCTAGAATTATAAGCATGTCCTCTTTTTGCCACATTGATGAGAAGGGTCTTCAGAAGTTTATAAAATTTTTCTTTGACTTTATCAGGGTTTGTCATGGTGGGAGTGTAGGCACTGAAGAAGGTGTTGTGGGCATTTTCCTTCACATGGCAATCACATTGTCACGAGCCTGTTGTTTGCTCCTTTTGGTGGCATATAACCTTGTTGACTGGATTAGTTTTGATTGCAAAACCTACATCAGCTTCACAGCACTCCCCCCTTCACTCCACACTTCATGTGTATCCAGCTCTGACTTCAGTAAACTGGCCTTCATTTGCCAGCCTTGTTTCTTTCAGGGCTGCTATTTGGATGAAATACCTATCGATTTCTCTCTCAACAAGAGCTGCTCATCTTTCAGGTCTACTGGATTTTGTGTTGTCCATAAGTGTGCACATATTCCTTGTGATGATAAGTGGAATCATCTGCAGAAATTTTTGTACACTTTGTGTTTCAACTGCAGGGTGCGATCCCTGCCTGCCTTGGTAAACAGGTCGGAGTTGGTTAAGCAGACAGTTTTTAGGGCACCTTTTCTAGCCCCTTCCTGATACCAGGAGGTGAGCAGTGTGGTCCTTAAAAGGCTGCTTAGACACCTAGGGGACTTCTGAATCCCATTGCTGCTTCAAGTGACAAGACATCCTTATGGTCTGGGCTGCCTGTGTGCAGGGTTGTGACTACAGTTCCCAGTGTATCCTCACTGGCTGCTTCATCACTTGCCTGTCACTACAGGACTTTGAAATAGGTAAAAATGGTAAAATGGTATAGGTAATATCTTTTGACGTGTGCATAAATTGCATTTAAGTGAGGCAGAGTTCATGCATGAAGTCATTGGCCTCACTCTCTTCCAGTTGTCACAGTCCAGTGGCAGGACAGAGTGAAGATGACTGATGATGGCTCCGGATGTGGAGGATGATCTCAGTGTCTTTTATGTCTAACCAAGCTCTAAGAGCTCCACAGTGTCATCCCATGTTTTGTCTTACCACTGGACTTTGATGACTCTGGAAGTGGGACTGAGTCCAATGACTTTGTACAACTCTGTCTTAAATCTAATTCAGGTGCAAGTCATCACCCATGATGTCATTGGTCCTCTTCCAAATAAAGGACAAACAACAAGTTGTGAGGTAGGCAGTTTGGTGTTGAACTGGACAGAGTACTGGACCTGGAGTAAAGAAGACCTGAGTTCAAATGTGACCTCAGACATTTCCAAACTGTGACCGGGCAAGTTGCTTCACCTGGTTTGCCTCAGTTTTCTCATCTCTAAAATGAACTGGAGCAGGGCCAAGAAAATCCCAAATGGGGTCACAAAGAGTAGGACTGACACGACTACAAAAAATACACGGCAACTTTGTAGTTCATTCGTGTTCACAATGGGTGACACCTTGGGTGGGGCTGGAAAAATAGACTAAGGTGGAGCAGGTAGTGATGGCCTTTCGGTCACGTGGGCACGTCTACGCTCTGCTGGGGGAGTGTCGCGCGCTGAGGCTCTGTGACCGTTAGGGGCTCTGAGCACGCCCCCTCCTCCCGGGGAGCTTCCCTTGCGGTAACGTAGCTGGGCTCCGCCCCTTACCCCCGGCCTGTCCTGTCACGTGTCAGAGCACGTGGCAGGGCCGGAGCTGAGGGGAGGACGAGGGACACCGAGTCTGGCGCCCGAGGGTAAAGTGGGCGTGTGGTGAGGGGAATGAGTATGGCGTCTGGGACCCTCGTCTGAGGAGGACTGCAGAGCGTGGGCGTGAAGCCACCCGGCCTGGGGGGTGGGGGTGAGGGAGAGAAGGGGCAGGAAAGGAGGAGCGGATGGTTTGTGGTAATTTTCAGCGTGATGTTAGCCCAGGCCTCAGGTCACAGAGTTGGGGAAGGGCCTGACCAGGGCGGGGTGGAGGGGAGCGAGGGGAGGGGGCGACGAGGGGAGGCGGCTTAAGGGGATAGAGTGGAGGGGAAGTGGGAGAAGGGTCCAAGGCGGGCGGGGGGAGGGCTAGGGGTTGGGTGGGTTTTTCTGGCCTTGAATCAAGCTGGGTAAATGTATTGTTTGCTATTAATCCGAATAGTGAAGGGTTAAATGTTGCAGATATAAGAACACACTGGGGGAAGGGAGAAGAAAAGGGGAAGAGTCTAGAGAGAAAAGAGGGGAGGTGAGACTGGCAAGATCCTAGAATGCTAGAGATTACCCTAGAGGTGGGGAACCTGCGCCCTGCAGGCTGGCCCTCTAGGTCCTCAAGTGAGGCCTTTGGACTGTAATATAAGATTTGTTCTGTAAAACTTGGACTCAGTCAAAAGGCCCCACCCAGGGACCTAGAATGGAAGGCTACAAGTGGCCTGGGGCCACAGGTTCCCCACCCTGAATTTTACAAATGAGGAAATTGAGACCCATTGACCTGCTGTGGTGTGACAGCTGGTCCACAGTTGAGTAGTTGGAAAAGAGGAATTTGGCTAAACCAGTTTATTCAGGCTCAGCCAAGTGCCCTTTTCTTTTAGAAACTGATTTTTATTTGGTTAATAATTATCAACAAGCAATTAATTAAGCATATAAAACAAGGTGGAAAACTACCCCAAACTCCAAAGAATTCCCAGAAGAATTCCCAAACCACATTGAAAAAATTGCTTTGGGTATGGTTTTCTTTCAGATCAGCCTGAAGTTCGACCAACTTTGGGATGTTTTCCTACATTTTTTCTTCTTTTAAAAAATAAAAGTGTAGTATATGTGGTTCCAATTCAGCTACTTTCATCCCACTTCATCTCTGTAGGATGTAGGATTGTAGAATTAGATTTGGAAGAGACCTGATAGGTCATTCAGTCCAAAGCCTCATAAGTGATTTGCCCAGACTCATACAGTTTTTTATTGTCAAGAGTGGGATTTGCACCCAGATCTTCCTGAGACCATTTGTTGTTCAGTTGTTTCAGTCCTGACTTCTGTTGGTGGGGTTTTCTTGGCAAAAATACTGGAGTAGTTTACTATTTCCTTCTCCGGTGGTAAACAGAAGTTGTGACTTGCCCAAGGTCACACAAGGTAAGAAGTTTCTGAGATCTTCCTGACTCCAAGCACAGCACCCTATCCACTAAACCACCTAGCTGACACCATAGCTTTATATATTTCCTTGTATGCTTCATAGTTATTATTTTTTGACACTACAATGTTGTGTTAATATATCCAAATTTATTCACCCATGTGAGTTTGGAACTTTTCTTCCTAATATAAGTATAGCAGCTGTGGGTATTTTCTTATAAATAGATCATTTTCCTGTTTTTGATGACAGTTAAATTTCCACCACACCACTTTTCTTGCCCGGGAAGGTGAAGAGAGAGCAAATACGGAAAATGGGAGAAGACAGGTTGTCTAGAGAAAGAAAAATAAACCCCAACATTATTGGACTTAGACTCAGTGGCATAATGTTTCCTGACGCCAAATGTCACTATTATCCTGAAGGCAAATATCATCTGAATCTTAGTCTGCCTCCTGACAGTAGCTGCTTTTTAATTTTTTTTCTTAGATTTCCGGAGCAAGGAAACCAAGTAATGTCTAAAGGGACAAATAGTGATTGAGTGCTATACTGAATGTATTAAGAATCTTACCTATTTTTATATTAAAGAATATTAGATATAAATAAACAACTTAGCTCAGTCTGCTTGAGAATAAGAATAGAGAAACTGGACAGATATTAGAGCATCTCAGATCTGAGATGTGGTGTGGTACAGTTGGTAGGATCTGAAGTCAGAGCACTTAGCTCTTCCTTCTTATTTCTTTTGTGACATGGGCAAATCATTTAATCTCTGTACCTGAGGGTAGCAGGAAGAAGATGGATTAGTTGTTCTCTAAGGTTCTAATTAGCTCTAAAGCTACCAATATGGTAAATACATAAATTGAGGGCATGGCTGTGTTGTAAATAAATTACCAAGATAAACAAATTAACACCTTTGTATGCAGAAGAATCTTCAGAGTTACAGAGAAAATTTGTCTTTATTTAAAAAAATAAACTAAAGCTCTTTGAAGGTAGTTGTGGAAATAGAATTGAATTAAAAGGTAAGGAGACTTAAAAAAATTTTAGCTGTATCACTGAACTGACTAGCTTTGTGGCCTTGACCAGATCATTTAACTTTAGTTTCTTCATCTAAAATTGAGGAGGCTGGGGTAAAAATTCATCCCTAAGAGTCCTTTCATTTTTAAGATTGTATAATTCTTAGAAGGTAAGAGATTTGTATTAGGCACTACTGAAACAAGACAAAAAAGATTTTTTAAACATCAGTATTCCTTACAAAATTACAGATTCCTTACAAAATATTTTGGTACATAGTGTGCCTGCTAGTCCTTTGCTGTAGCTTTTAAAAAATATTTAACACCATTTTAGTAGATGAATTAAGACTAACACATCACTGGCTTGAAAATCTTTCTATTTTCAGATGTTTTTCAGTAAGGACCTTCAGATATCAAGAACCTAAGCTTTGATATAATTTGCACCTAAATTAGGCATTACTTTTGACTTTACAGAAATTGTGTATGAGATACTATGGCAAGTCAACTAGTGAAATCTTTGGAGAGTAAAAGTTGTAAGCGACCAAGAGAGATAGAGGTGAGTTCTATGCTTCTCAGATGTTTTTTAGGTCACTGTTTTTTTCCCATTCCATTTACTTAGGTTTCTTCCTATAAAGAAATTTAAATCGATAGCTAGATTTGATAACTTGACATTCTCAAACCAAGCACCTCAGGCACAATGTTTTTTGGTGATTAGAGAGCTGGAGTTGAAGTCAGGAAGACCTCATTTCAAATCCTGTTCCGGACACTAGCTGTGTTACCCTGGGCAAGCCACTTGACCAAATCTCTGAGCCATAGATTCCTCATCTGTAAAATAAGAGTGTTAAACCCTGTGGCCTTTCAGGCTTTGAGGATTTGAGACCTTTTAGGATTTGAGCTGTGGCATGTTAACTCACCTGGATAATAATTCAAAAATATGTTCATATTAATATTAGTGTCCAGGTGGTTTTTGGGAAACATTGTGGGGGAACTTTTTGCCATTGTAAAAATTATAGGATATCTGTTACAATGGTATCTTGAAGTACAGCGGTGTTTACAACTCTAAATCTGTGGTCTCATGAACACTAATTCCTTATATAAATTTTGCTGTTTTCTAAGCACTAGCATGATCCTAAGCCATAGTTCAGTTCTTTAGTAGTGCAGTGATCTCATCTATGTGGGAACTCCTCGAACCTATAACCCAACCATATCCTGTACAATTCTTGTCCATGCTGTCATCAGTAATCATAAATCTATAAGTCATCCATAGAGGAATAAACCACTTTGATGTTTCAATATAAGTACCAATGCAGCGTTCAGGCTGTCCAGTCTAATGCCCCTCACTCTAACCAGCACTACTTGCTCACATCCTTTTCCACTCACATTTATTATGATATCCCTTATGCCATTTTTTGTGCACAAATCATTGTTGGTAATTTGATGCAGCCTACTTAAGCCCAAAATATGCCCCTTCATTGACCTTTGTATTGTCTGTAGTTTTTATTGCGGTATTCCATATTGATGTATGATGTGCAGTTGTACATCATTATGGGAAAATAGGTGAAAAATTTGGCTTTATGTGTCAAGGAGCAACTTAGCATTACTGAAAGTACCACTGAGTTTAGCAAGTGAAATCTAACTTTCATTCTTCTACTTATTCAATTATGGGCTCATCTCACAGTCTGTTTGCAATTTCTGTCCTAGTTATGTACTAATAATAGGACACACGTAATGGACTACCCAGTCAGCCATATTATACTTTTAGTTATACGCTTTTTTCATTTGTCTTTTCTTAGTGGTTTGTTAAATTGGAACACTTTTAAGTGATTATGGATTCAGTCTGTTGGACTCTGTATTGTTTTGGGGTTTGGCACACTCAACAATTTCTTCTGCAAACAAACATCTGGAAACGAGATATTCTAATGACATTTGTGATCTAGACTGAGAACAGAGGCAGTGTCTGAAGGCCTTTTAGGATGTGAGCTGTGGGATGTTAACTCACCTGGATAATAATTCAAAAATATGTTGATATTAATATTAGTGTCCAGGTGGTTTTTGGGAAACATTGTGGGGGAACTTTTTGCCATTGTAAAAATTATAGGATATCTATTACAATGGGTATCTTGAAGTACAGTGGTGTTTACAAATGATGGTTGGTATTGCAATGCTGTGGAACTAACTATAGATCCTATCAAGTGTGTTTGTTTATTTGGGAAGTACTGTAAAGCTATTATCACCAGATACCAAAAACTAAAATAAAGATTATTGTGTAGAGCTTTAATCTTCCTGTTATCTAAACTTTTCCTTGGTTGTAAATTAGGCAATTTTCACGCTAGAAGAATAAAGGGGTTAGATTAAAGTCTGTTTAGGCTCTAATCCTCTGAACCTAATAGAGTAATACTGTATTCAAGAAAAAAATTGTCACCCTCAGTTATTTTTTCGATAGCTTGTTTTATGTGTATAGATGGTATTCACAGGAATCTTACTATATCCCCATTTTCTCTATTTCTTTTAATAGAATGAAACTTCAGTGGGTCCACAGTTGTCTTCTCTTGCAAAATCAGATTCTACTTTTTCTGAAAGTGCTATGCCATCATTTTATAAAGCCGAAGTCCTGGAGAAAGTTTTAAATGGTGATGTACAAATATGTATAATTCTCACAAATAGAATGAAAGAGCAATTTATTTTATAATGGACAAAGATATAATTTCAAAACTCTGCCTTTTTAATTAGCAGATATGAGCAAGGAGATTAATCTACTGTTGACTAAATATGCACAGATTTTAAGGCAAGTACATGTAATATATTCTAAATTCATAGTTTGGAAAAGACTTTGTCTTAGAATATGTATTGATTTAATAGCAAAGTTAAAGCTTTATTTTGGAAAGTTAATAGAAAGAACTAGGGATTTATTTCTGTAAATAAAGACTTGGAGATTTTTAAATCTACCACAGCCTTTCTTTGTGGTGAAGTTAGTGATGTTCAGAGACTATTTGTATTGTTTTTAGGACATGGATGGATTGTGGACAATGTAAAGTGCCTGCTGGAGGGAGACATATTCTTTTCAGCTAGTGAATTGACATCAATACCCCTTTTTAAAAAAATGATTTGAATACCCTATGGAGGGCATGGGTTTGATTTGTGAGAACAACAGCATGAAAAACACAGTGTAGTAGCAAAAAGAACTTTTATTGAATGAGTTTCTCCTTGGGTTTCTAGCATCAGGAGGTGTGGATCTCAAAAAGATCCTGCTAAATGGCCACCATAGGTGAACCTTACGGCATTACTGCAGTGATAGAGACACATCTTAGGGGCAAGGACTAAATTTCACATGGCTTTTTCTCAAACCTCATCCTCATCCTTCGTATTCTTTCTATAGCATTTAACACTGGTGACCACCTCTGTCTTCCTGAATAATCTTTCTTATCTGTGTTTTCATGATGTAAATCTCCTATCTTGCTTTTTCTTTTCAGGTTACTTTGCTGGTTCATCATCCATGTCACATCCTAGATGATGTATCCCAAAGCTTTTTCCTGGGCTCCCTTTTCCTTTATATACTTTCTTGTTTGTAGACCTAATTAGCTCCCGTGGATTAAGTTATAATCTCTACACAGATGACTTCTAGATCTATATCCAGTATTAGGTGCTCTCCTGACCTCTAGTCTTGTATTGCCAACTGCATATTGGACATTTTTAATGATGTCTAGTAGGCATTTTAAACTCATGACCAAAACAGATCTCATCTTTCCCCCCGCCCCAATCCATAAGTCTTCTAAGCTTTCCAATTATTGTTGAGGGCACCACTGTCTTTCCAGTAACCCAGGTTCACAATCTTAGTGTCATCCTTGATTCCTCATTCTCACCCTACATATCCAGTAAGTTGCTGAATCTTGTTTCTATATCCAGATATGTCTTGCATATGTCCCCTTCTCTCCAGTCACCCAGCCGTCACCTTGGTTCAGGCTTTCATCACCTCTTGCCTAGACTATTTTAATAGCCTCTTAGTTGGACTCCCTGCCCTCTCTCTACTGTAATCCATTTTCCTCAAAACTGCCAAAATGATTTTCCTAAATTGTAGATCTGTAGACCCTGTAGACCTTTTGTCTCCTCTGTTCAGTAAACTTCAATGACATATTACTTTTGGCTTCAAATACATACATTTTTTGGCATTTAAAGCTTTTTACAATCTGACACCTTTCTACCTTTTCAGTTTTCCTTACTTATTATTCCCCTCCACACACCCTACGGTCGGTCTGTGATGGCCTCCTTTCTATTGTTCACACATGATACTCCTGTCTTCTGTCTTCATGACTTTGAGCAGGCTGTGCACCATGTCTAGCATGCTCTTCCTCCTCTCCTCTGCCCTTTGGAGTCCCTGGCTTGCATCAAAACTCAGCTCAAGTGCCATCCTCTATAGGAAGCCTGTCCTGTTCTCATCAGCTAGTGTCTTCCTATCCAAGGTTACCTTGTTTGTTTTTTTATTGTCATTTATTTATGTTTATTAGAATGTAAGTTCCTTGAAGACAGGGATTGTTTCCTTTTTATCTTTGTATGCATAGTCAGTAAACAAGCATTTATTAAGTACTTAATATGTGTCACTATGCTAAGGGCTAAGGCAAAAGTATGCCCCCTGCCTAGCATTGAGGCATATGATTTGTCTAGGGCTCAGGGTGATTGCCTTAGGACAGCAACTGAGTCTCTGTGAGAAGAACTTGTCATTAGTAACTGGTTCAGGAAGGAGAACAGCAGAGTATAGCCTTTTTCCCAGCTTCCATAAAGTTGAAGAGTACTGAGTGAGAAAGATAATTTCCTTACTACACCTGGGAATGTGGAGAGCTGCAGATGCTTAGAGATTCAGCTACTGTGTGAGGGAATCTTTCCAGCCTTCGGTATAGCCATGTCAGAGAATGACATTGAGGTTATTGTTTTTTTTCCATTGTTTATTTGGGTGTGACACCCTAATCCCTTAAGTGTGTGCACTGACATTGTTTTCTCTGCTCCTTTACCCAATTATTTTAGTGCCGATTAAATTATTTTTAAAATGCATATGTTCTTTGAAAACTCACATATTCTTGTCTAGGCTGCTACTAGTAAAGACTGAGTTTAGATTGTCTATCAGAGGTGTTCAACTAAGCTGGGACTGTGGGTGGTGGCTTAAACCAAATGAGGTACTGTTATCTAAAATACTACTAATTTGAAGCTAGTAATCCATGTGAATCCAGATTTGAATGGCCTTTGAGCTGTATGTCGTTCAGTGCCATTGTCAGCAGTTCTACTCAACTGGATAGACCTTTGATTCATGAGAGTTAAGAGCTTTAGAACTTCAAAGGACCTCAGAGGTCATCTAGATCAGGCCCCATATTTTACACCTGAGGAACCACAGTTCAAAGGTTAAGTGACTTTCCCAAGGTAACATGGCTAATAAGTGGTGGAATTGGAATTTTGGTCCATCTTGGCCTAGTTTAGTGCTAAATATAATTTTTTTGGTTTTCTTATAGATAGATACTTTTAAGAAAAGTACTTCTTAATTGTGATGACATTTACAGTTTTTTGAATTTTAAATCTTTAAAAATGTATTCAGAAAAATTCAAGAGTACTTTGATAACCTGGTGTCAAATATAGGGCAGTCATATAAACTACAAATAGCTTATTTAATTCTTTGTTTATGTGAATGTATAAAATGAATATTAATATTACAGTTACAAATTTAGGATATATGTTTATTGAAGTGTCATAAGACTTTAACTTTTATGGAACTATCTTCATCACAGAAAGATGTTTGAAAGAAATGTCTAAACAACATATTAAAGTAAATAGCATCTAACAAATTGATTATGATTGGATTTTATAACATTTTAATTTTAGGTTTGTTTTCCTTTTAATAGTGAGAGAGCAGCAGTGGATGCTTCTTACATTGAGGAGTTTGATGCAATCTTCAAAGAAGCCAGTACTTTAGAAAACCTTCTGAAACAAAAAAGAGAGAGTCTGAGGCAAAGATTCACAATGATTGCAAATACTCTACAAAGCTAAAATGAAGTATATGTACAAAATAATATGAGATACCAAGCTGTTTGTGTACCATTTCTGTTGTGTATTTAAAGAATGCTAATATGTGCTTTGAAAATATAATATTCATCACCTATCTTTAGTAGTTATAGAAAATGTATACAGTTCATTTGTAGAAGGGAATATTCAAGAATTTTTGTTGGATTTGATAGTTTTTAAGCTAGATATCAGTTTCACGTATTTGGTTTTTGTCTTGAAGTTTCAATAACTGGCATACTTCATAAAAATGCAAAATTTTGTTTGCCTAATCACATGTGGATAATTTTCTGTTTGTGTTAAAACTCCTAGCATTTTAAAGAAGACTTCCCAGGATAAATGAACACAAACCAGTTTGAAAGTGAATCTGATAATATTTCATCATATTAATCAGTATGTGTATCATTTTCTTGACATTTTCTTGGTACAATTTAAAAGATGTGTTTCATGATTTATTTTCTTAACATTACTTGATTAGAAAGTTGATCTAAAGTACTCATTAAATTGAGTTCCATATGTTATTTAGGAACACTCTTTGCTTTCATTAGTGGTTAGTATACATGACTCAGCAAAGATGCTTTTAAGTTAATTAATATGTTTTACTGAGATAGTTCTCATAAAATCATAGCCTTCCATAGAGATAGAAAGAACCTTAGAGGTCATCTAGTACAGTTCCCTCTAGAGTATTCCTGCACATGCTTGGTTGTTCAGTTTCTTCTTGAAAAGTGAATGCAGTACTTCTGAGGAAATTCATTCCATTTTTGGATGGATCTTATGCATTCTTCCACAGCAGAAAGAGACCTAGTTTAAGTTCTGGTTCTGACACAAGCTGTGTGATCCTTGGCACATTACTTGGGATTTGAACCCAAATTTTCCTGTCTGCTATGCCATGTTGCCTCTTGAGTATAGGTGAGGCCAAAAAAAAAAAAGAAGAGAAATCTTTTAAAAACATATCCCTACATAAGTAGTATAATTATGCAGAAGCACCAATTTCAGCTAACTAGATCTATTCATTGACTCTGCCAGAAACTTCAGCTTTGCAGGAATTTTAGAAAAAGGATGATAGAATAGACTTATTTAGCCCTTGTGTATCTTCTGTCAGAGTTCTGGAATTATTTGCCAAGAAGAAGGGCAGGAAGTTAAAACTCTGCATTATTACAGAACCTTTAAGGCCATTACCACCAAGACCATTACCATTGATAGCTTACTGACTCTGCCAGATTCCGAGCCCTTATGTTTACCACATTGGACGTCTGGGCTTTGATATGGAAGTATAATTTTGATCTGTATATAAGGTGATGAATAGAAAATGGCCTCTAAGACTTTGTATGTCCCGTGTCTTGGGTTTGTATAATATCCTTGCAGATTTTCAGAGGTTTGTGAACTTTGTTTCAAGAGTTATGAGACCCAAAGGTTGATAACTAATTATGAAGATATCCTTATTTATTCCTTATACTGTGGGCAACATACTGTAATACTGGTGTTCTAGTATTGCACTTGACTAACTGGTTAACTTTTAGTCTAGAGGGGTTAGAAGTGACTGTGAGCCACTCACAGTTTGTACTTTCAGATAAGACTAATTTTAAGAATACACTATTGCAAGAGATAACTGCATTAGTCTGGGCCCCATACTCTACAGCTCTTTCAGTATACATTTCCAATGCTTTCTTCACATGATACTGTCTTGTTCAATCAGTATAATCGTCTTTCAGAAGAAATATATATGTGATGGTCACTTAGGGTATGGATTATGTCAGTATAGGACTCTTGCCTTTCGGAGGGATATTGGCAGGGGTTGCAGCATTCTTGTCCATGAGCTAATTACCCCTGGTGTATATCACAAAGGATTGGACGTACCACCAGTAATCCAAAATGATAGTGCTTTGAGGTCTTAAATAGGACTGTGTGGACCTGCCACTAGACAAAGTTGGGATATTTCCCATTGAACTTTGCTGGGAAAAACAGGTAAGAATGGAGGTACAGGAATCCATCAGACACTGACTTTCCTTCAAGTGTACTTTCATAGAATGCAGATAACTTGGTTTGTATATAGGCATTTTAAAAATCTTTTGCTAGTAGATCAGATCTAATAGGTCTAGTTGAGACTGAATGATGACAGAATTTAGTCTGTAGGGTGTCTGGCTAATCCATTAGGGAAATGAGTTGATGATCTTGAGGGAATCAGCCTTCTGATTTTATTATCTTGGAACGTAGGCAATGGTGAAATTTATCCAGTAAAAATAATGCCTGGTAGGTTAAGCATTATTTTTATTGGTGATGCCCTGGAGGTGTTCCAAGTTTTTATGATTGGAGTGCATGATAATGGGGTGTATGATTCTTCAAGAGTTCTTCACCATAAGTAAGACCTTTTCTGTAGGTAACCCTTCCCAGTTTCCTTTCTGATGAGCACTTTCCACCAGTCAGTCTGCTTAGATCAGCTTGTGGGAGAGGTACATCAAGGACTAGGGTATTGCAGGGAAGGCTGTCTGGTCTTTTGAGACTTCAATCTACGTGGCGACATTGGCTACATGGGCCTTTGTTATTCACTGTTTGTTCAGGGCTATATAGAATAAGATGGAGATTGAAGTAAACTGGATCTTAAGGTTGAGTGGACCTTTAATCTCCAGTGCCTCAACCAGTCATTTGAGAGGTGCAGCCAGAGGAGAAAATTTAAAGATGACCTGGTAGGCAAAACTGATGAACTGTTAAAGGCTTTTTTGCTGATGGAGTTCACATACTGTAGTGTGGCTTCTTCCTTACGTTGATTCATGTATATTTCCTCTTGTCCTGTTATAGACCCACTAAATCCCCATTATCTCATTTTTGCATTTCACTATCTGCAGCTCTCTGAGTAGGAAGGAAGGAAGCACTTACTGTGTGTCACTTAACTGTGTTAAGCTCTGAGGACACAAGTACAAGCAAAAAAGAAAGATCCTACCCTCAACAAGTTTACATTCTAATGGGAGAAAACATACAGAAAGGAGCTGAAAAAGCAGGGGGGGAATGGAAGGGTAGGGAGACGAAGGTATTTGCATGTTTTTGAAGTTTGGAAGTGAGTAGCCAGACCAGGAAGGGAACAGAACCAGGAAGTGGTCTTCAGAAAGTGGGTGCTCCAGAAAGAATTCACTAATAGGAGAAGGGGAGCTGGCTGTGTGGAGGGATATTACAGGTTGAGAAGACTACAGGTGTGGTTGGATATGACAGGGTGAAGAGGCCCCAGGCATTAAGAAAAATTTCAGGATGGGGCAACAACAGAAACATGTTTCTGAAGTCTGGAAGTAAGGAGCCAGGCCCAGAAGGTCAATGAAGGCTGGCTTGGGCCAGGCACTGTGCCAAACACTTTTTACAGATACATCATTTGATCCTCACAACAATCCTGTGAGTAGGTGCTGTTGTTATGCCCATTTTACAGTTGAGGTGACTGAGGCAAATAGCGGTTAAGTGACTTGCCCAGGATCTAAATCTAATATCTGAGGCTGGATTTGAATTCAGGTCTTCCTGACTCCAAGCCCAGAGCTGTGACTGCTGCACCACCTAGCTGTCTGGTACATAGTAAGCATTTGATAAATGTTGATTAATTTATTGATTTGAGGGTACATTTCCTGCATCTTGTCCTGGACACCACGATTACTAAGGCTCTGATTTTAATAGTAGCCTGCTGGATATAATGCTTTAGCCTTTGTTACTAGGTAAAGATATTTGTCCTGAGACTGATCACGGAAAGATTGGTTACCCAGTATTGATTTTTTTTTTTTGACCACGGCACATGATGAAGATTATCACTTGACATGTGAGGAACATTCCACACTGATGAAATAATGGGTTTTTAAAAAATATTGGGGCAGCTAGATGGTGAAGTGGATAGAGCACCAGCCCTGGAGTCAGGAGGACCTGAGTTCAGATGCGGCCTCAGACACATAATACTCACTAGCTGTGTGCCAGTTGTCTTACCAAAAAAAAAAAAAAAGAAAAGAAAAAATATTAAGGAACAAAATAATTCATTCAAGAAGTATTTATTATCTTTTCTATGTACGACACTGTATTAGGTGCTATGAAGGATACAAAGAATAGAAGACATTGCCACTATTCTCAGTTTATAAGCTAGCAAGGAGATAAGAAATGTGAACTAATTAGCCATAGATCATAAAATGATAAATATCCTCTTACTTCTTACAAGCTAAAAATCCAATCTCTGTAGCTCAGTATTCAAGTCTTTATATAATTAGCACCCATCTTATCTCCCTAGTTGTATCACCTATAAATCCCATAACTAATCATAAAAAAGCAAATATCTAAGTGTCAGATAAAAGTATAGACAATAAGAGCTACAGGATTTTAGAGAAGGTAATCAATTTGGATTGGAGTGGTCAGGATGGGTTTTATGGAATAAGGTAAGAATTAGGCCTTGAAAGATGAATGGCATTTTGAAAGGCATAGAGTTGAGAAATAGCATGATCAGGGGAGAATGAAATGAGTACATATGGAGAGACTGAAGTGTAAAAGTGTTTCAGGAATGGTGGAGAGAGTAGGTTAGCCAGAGTTTAAGCATCAGGTAAAGGAGTAATAGGACTGGAGATACGTGTTGGGCCATGAGTGTGGAAGGCCTTGAATACCAAATTAAGGAGTTTGAAATTTTTTTTTTTGTAGACAGAGGAGATTTTCGAGCAGAGGAGTGGCATGATGAAAATTTGACAAAACTCTGAACAGAAATAAGAAAATCAGGAGTAGACTGATTTGGGAGAAGTGAGTTAGAGATGATAATGGAAAAGTGAAGTAGAAAAGTCTAGCAGGCAGCTGGAAATGTGAGGCTGAAATTGAGAGCAATCTGATTCAGAGATCTGTATTTAGGAGTTATCTACAGAGAGGGAGGTTGAACTTGAGGTCAAGTCAGCAAGCATTTGTCAAGTACCTTTTATGTTCCAGGCCTGTGCTAAGCACTAGGTATGCAAAGAAAGGCAAAAGCAATCCGTGCTCCCAACGCTTTTTGAGGGGAATCAATCTAGAGAGCGGAGAGTTAAATACTAGATGCTGAGTCTTGGGAGGCAGCATGGTGCAATGGAAAGAGAATTGGTTCTGGACTCAGAAAACTTGGGTACAAATCTTTATCACTGATGCTTACTACCTAATTTATTACATCCCTAGTGTTTCCCAAAACAAGAGAAAACATATAAAAGGGACTGAAGCAACAGCAAGGCCACATGTGCTGGCTTCATGTGATCTGGGTGTTGAGAGTATATTGGCTGCCAGAGACATAGAACATCCTTCCTCCCTC